ATTCTGGAAGGACCACTCTCTAACTCCTGACTGCTTAGCTCCTGAAAGCTGAGCTCTGACGCCCCCTCTATCCTTCGGTCAGCTGTGTGGCCACAGGAGGTGGGAGGTACAGTGGGAGGGAGGCAGTGCTGGAAGGAGCAGGCAGCACTGTGAGGTGCACTCAGCACACTGTCATTCATTAGCATGGACATATGGAATAGTCATCGTGGGAGGAAGCAGACCCAGGCAGCCCCCAACCTGTTTCCTCCCAGTGAGGCCATGCTGCACCACCACACAGCTCCCCCCACCCCCCAGTGGGCAAGGGGATCAGACAGTAGGGCTCAAAGGGGGAAAGAAGGGGGACAGACAAGGAAAGAGGGACTGCCTAGGGACAGAGCTGGGACTCTCATACCCCTGACCACATTCTAATGCAACTTCCACCCACCTTCTCACCTCCACATTCTATTTGCTATCATCATTGATTTTGCAAAATACAAAATATAAAAAAGTAGCCGACAGGATGTGGCTGCTGACAGCCAGAGCCCTTGGGGTAGGGGGAGGTAAAGAGCCGCACCACTGAGCTCGTTCCCTCCCTCACCCGAAGCGCGCCCGGCTGCTCCCGGCCAGGAAACCAATTTATTTTGTTTTGTCTCTGTTCTCTGAAGGCACAGCAGAGACCGGATCGGGCTGACAGCCAAGGCTCGTGCAGTCGGCTGCCAAGTGAACAGGAGGACAAGCAACGAGGGGAGGAAACAGAGTTTGGAGAGGTGGGGGTGGAGATGGAGACTCCTCCTCTTACCCTCCATATCCCAGGGGAGGAGAAAGATTAGGAATTGTCAGAGAAGGGCTTCCTGACTCAGTCAGTGACCTGATACTCTATCAGTCAGTCCGAGGAAGAAAGAAACAGCCACTTACTGGGGCCACAATGCAGGTCATTTTGCTCTAAGAGCATCAGATTGGAAGAAAAGTGATTGCTGATAAGATGTAAATCTTAGACCTTGGAGGCAGGAAAAATAGATCAAGTCCCTCCTTAGGGAAAGAGTCCAAATATATAAGGACTACAAATCCCAACATGCAGTGCAGCCTGGACAGCACCCTGACTTAAAAGGGAAGTACTTTTCATCTCTTGGGCAGGGCCCACAGTACTACCAATTAGCCATGGGAAGGAAGGGAAACTCGGGGAGCTCTTATTTGTGCAGCTGTGGATTAGGATTCTGGCAAAGGCAGACAATATATGAATATGATGGCACCTTTCCTCCCTAAGATTTCACTCAGCAACAACCCCCTAGAGAATTCTTAACCAATAAGAGACAGAGGCAATCACAAAAGATATAACAGATACTTGTGATTACATGAGATTGAAAAAAATTTTAGACAAATAAAATCAATACAGTGAGGGAAAGCATCAAGTGGGAAAAAAATCTTAACATCAAATGTCTATGATAAGCATCTGGTATCCAAGATATGTGGTGAATTAACATAAATATTTGAGACAACCATTCCTCAATGGATAAATGGTCAAAGAATATAAACAGAGTTCTCAAAATAATTAAAAATTATTAATAACCATAAAAAGGACTGCTCCAAATCACTAAGAATAAAAAAAAAGTATAAACCAAAATAACTCTGAGGTTTCATCTTTTCACACCCAGAAAACTGGGTATGATGTCAAAATATGAAGGAGTTGCAGAAAGACAGACACACTATAATATACTATTGGTGGAGCTGTCAATTGGCCCAACCATTCTGAAAAGTGGTTTGGAACTGTGCTAAGAAAGTGACCAGAACATCCATATGCTTTAACCCAAAGATCTTGCTACTAGCCACATATCCCAAGGAAGTCAAAGACAGAGAAGACTCATATACACTAAAACACTGATCTCTGAACTTTCTGTAGGAGAAAAAAAAACTAGAAAAAAAAAGCAGATGTCCATTGGGCATGAACGTAATAGATTATCACTATACCGTAAGAAACAACTGACAATGAATCTGGAGAAAGGTGGGAAGATATATGAATTGAAGAGTAAAATAAACAGGACTAGGAAAATAATATACATGTAACTACAACAATGCAAATGAAAAGAGGAGGGAAAATAAAGTCAGCACTATTTAACTGTCATGACCAAACTTGTCCTTGGAGGGGAATTAAGCAGCTGTCCTCCCACCCCTGCCCCAAAGAGGTGGGGGGCTATGGATGCGGAATATTGCACAGACTCTCAGACTCAGCTGATGGTTGGTTAATTTGACCAAACTTTTTTTTCCTCATTCTTTTTTCATCCTTTCTATGAAGGATGGCTCACTGAGTAGTGGCAGAGGGGAGGGATAAATTTGGAAATGAAGGTGATAGAAACACAAGAGGTATTAATCAAACAGTACTTTAAAAAGGAAAAAAAGAAACAATTCTCCAAGTGAGTAGTACGTAGGCAACTGAAGACTGCCTCCTCAATTCAACCCACCCTTAGGAGGGGAAAAAGTCCTCCTCTTTCCAACACTTCCAAGTCCCTGATGTCCCCAGCCCCACAGTTTACTCTCCAAGGCTATCTGTGTGACAGAGCTGGGGATATTTCCTTTGGGAACATCAGACTATCCTGAGATCTTCGTGGGAGTGGGAAAGATCCTCACCTGGGGCAAAGAGGAGACAGTGCTCAATAAAGGAAGGGGATGAAATCCAGATAACACTGATCATTCCCATCATTCCTGACTGCCTACAGTAATTACTCCATTAAACAGCTTATCACGTGATCCTACATAATCTTGTAGTGTTCTTTAAGAATTGTTTTCAGTTCATGTCTTGCCTCCCTGACCCAAAGATTCTAAATTCCTCAGAAAGCAGGACAGTTCAGTGAAAAGAATTCTGTATTTAGAGTCAGAGGACCTGAGTTCAAATCCTGCCTCTGCAACTGCCCTACCTGGGTGATCCTGGACAAGTCATTTACCATCCCTGGGCTTCCTCATCTATAAAATGAGAGGGTTAGGCTAGCTGGCCGATGAGGTCTAAATCTATGACCCTTTGAGGAAACATGTCATATATTTTCTTGTACTTTTGCAGAACCTAACACCTACTCTGTACATACAGTAAGAGGCAAATAAATACCCACTGAACCCACAGAGAACGTCTGGAAAGGAGACCAGGCAGATCAGAAACATAGCTACAAACCAAGATGCAGACATCAGTCCCTACCAGAAAAATTCCTAGAGGCTCTTGTCTTGAGACAGAGGAAAGAGGGAAAAGGTGGATTTATAAAGATGGTGGGGAACAAGGATCTGGAAATAGAAAAAGCTCATGGAAGCTACTGATGTCAGCAGGTCCTAAATGAGCCTCCCCCGCTGGGGTGCTGAAGCTGGATCGGCCGTGTAGGAGAAACCCTGAGAGTCTTTCATGCAAAAGCCTTTGGATGGCCTGTGGTTCCCCCACCCCCAGGCATGTCTGAGACATTACACAAGTGCACATTTTCTGTCCTCATATGTTTCCCTAGCTCCCAAAGCTTTATTCCAGACCCAGGGGCAGGAGACCCTAAGCCAGAATGCTTCTTCAGGCATAACCCCTATCCCCACCAATGACACTTCCCACGCCAGCACTAGCTTCCCATGGTTAGTAGAAGATGATCTCCTAGGAAGTTAGCCCACTACCTTGCTGGTTGGGTTCCAGGACTCTGTACTTCAATGCCAATCTTCTAGAAATACCAAGAAGATAAAACAGTTCTGATCTGATTCTCATCCCTACAGTCTGAATAATATTGTCTAGTATCTTGAAAGCATCAGCTAATCCACCCCTTCACAAACGTTCAATAAAAGGCATCCAGAAATCCCTGAAGCCTTTTGTAGATATGGTTGGCCTGGGAGAAGGCGGCTTCTGTTATAGGCCAACACAGCTCCAAAGAAGGGATCCCCTACAGTGCTTGATCATTAGTGGAGAAGCATCACCAGAAAAGTCACAAGTGATCCATGGAGCAGAGTTCACATTTCTGTGTACTGAAGACAGAAGAAAAAAGCCCTGGCCATCACCACCCTAATTCCATTAGAGCTCTTAGGTGGGTTCTACAGTTTACAAGCTGCTTTGCATCTGTAATCTCATGAGCCTAATAACCAACCCCAACATCAGCATAGGAAAGATTCTGATCCTTATTTTACAAATGAGGAAACTAAAGGCCAATAGCAAGTAGTTCAGTCAGTGGCACAGTAAGGACCAGGATCAGGTCTCCCAGATCTTCCTTCTCCAAGGTTCTCTGGTCCTTTGCACTCCACCAAAAAGTTAGTCCCCGTCTGTTGAGGGCCTTCACTGACATGTGTAAGTCTACTCAGACAAACTATGAATTCCTTGGGGGAAGAGACTGGGTTTCATACTTCTTCTTTTCTCTCACATGTACACAGGACATAAATACTCAGGACATGTAAACTCAATAAATAGTTATCTATTAAATTGTCTTGTTCAACTGCTTTATGTTTGTCAGTCTTAACTCTCCCAACTAGATTATCCATGAACATCTTGAGAGCAAGGCTGTATCTTCTGCTTCCTTTGAAATAACCACAGAATTATAAAGTGCAGGACACAGAACAGGCCCCAGCTCATTCTTTAACTTGCCAGGGGTATGGATACAAGATGGGATGAAGTCCTTGGACCGTTCTCCACTTCCTCTCACATAAAGATGCACCAGTCCCACCACAAAGCTGTCATCCGCATAGTTCAATTTGCCTTTATAGCAGTGGAGGAAAACACATAACTGGTGGCATACAAGCCATTACCACTCGTAGGAACTGCCAAGCCAGCTTTGGCTGGCTGGGGGTGGGCAGAGCTGCTTTCAGAAATAAGACCCTATGCAACATAAGGGATCAAACTATACATACAACAAAATACGGCACAGACCATAAGCAAATCAACCAAAACACAGGACAAGAACCAATCAACCAATTGGGAAGGAGGGAGCAAGAAGACTCACATTACAGCTGTTCTGGCACTGGTGAGTCACCTCCAACTCCACCTAGAGCTCCTATCTTACGCCAACAGGTTGATGGAACCCTACCTCCTCATCAGAGCTGTCCTCCGCATATTCATCTTCTTTCTTTGGTTCTTGGCTCTGGCTACCGGCTTCCTTTGTGTTCTGCCTGGTGGTAGCAGCCTAAGGACAAACAGGAATAGATTAGTTCACCATGAAGGAACATCTGAAACTCACATGCAGTGTCATCAAATGATCATTAACAAATCCCTGCAAAAATCATGCCCGCAAGGACATCCCCTTGCACTTGGGCATGACCAAGTAACCACAATCTCCTACTATGTGATATTCCCCACAACCACTTCCCAGGCAAAAAGATCCATGGGATAATTTTTAACATAGGAAGACATGGTTCCCAGCTGATACTGACACTCAGGTTTCTGGGGCCCTTCTTCCCAACTCTATCCCAAAATCTTTAGCCCAGTCAATACTGCTGGAGTTCCCTAGGACAGGTAGTCTACAGCTTCAAAGAGGAAGGGACAGCTAAGAGCCTCCGGCATGCTGGGGAAGGGAAACGTCTCCCCACTACCAAGCCTCACTGTGGCCCGGGCTTTTCTCCACAAAGAGCTTTTGCAGTTAGTTTTACTAGTGCCTCTGCTGCCCTAGCCAGGTACTGTGCTAGATGTCTGAGAGAAGTAAAAATTAAACAGCATCTGACCCCAAGGAGCTTCTATTATATCAGGGGAGACAATATGTACATAAAATACAAGACAAATAGAAGGTAAAAAAATGCTTTTTGGTGGGGAAAGCACTGGTAGCTAGGAGGCTAAGAAAAGCTATATGTAGAAGGTGGTAACTGAGCAGTTTAAAGGAAACAATGGATTCTAAGGGATGGAAGCATATCAGGAGTACATTCCAGGCCTGGAGACAGGAGTGTGAGGGACAGCAAGGTCAGTTTGGCTGAACTTTAGAGTATGTAAAGGTTGGAAAGGTAGTTTGGGGCCAGGGTGTGAAGAACTTCAAAAAATAAATACAAAATCCATCAGTTTACTGAATAAAAGAGTGATGGGGTCAGACTTGCACTTCAGGAAAATCACTTTGGCGGCTGTGTGGAGAATGAATTGGAGAGGGGTAAGGAGGCCAATTAAGAGGCTACTGCAACAGTTCAGGAGAGAAGCAATGAGGACTTGCATCAGGGTGGTGGCTGTGTAAGTAGAAAGCAGACAGAAGCAAGAGACGTTGTGAAGATGCAAACAACAAGATTTGAGTCCTTTCCCATTACCTAATAGCTTCTTCGGGAACAAGAAGATAACCCCGAACTGCTGAACTGCAAAATGAGATGGTGTGGGGCTCAGGGCTGGTTAAGTAACAAAGCAGTTCAACTAAGGGCTTCAAAAATCCTGCACCCCCCCCCTCCCCCACACTCCAGTAACTTAAAAAACGGCTGTAGGGATGCCGCTCCAATGGCCCCCACACATCCACCCTACTCTGGGCTCAGACCCAGGAGGGGAAACTGCGGCCCCAAGAAGGGGGAGGAGGTGGGAACAGGGTTGGGGGGAGCTGTTGGAAAACAACAAGAAAGGAGAGAACCACTAAGATACCAAAGCCAACACTGAGCTGCTTACATATCACAAAGCAAGAAAGTAGCATTACTTCCACCATCACTCTTTGTAACTCTTATGTTTTCGGGAAAACTTGGCTCTACTTAATCCTTGCAGGGGTCACCAATTCACTGATGGGAAGGAAGAGTTGGTGCCCACAACATCTGTGTTGTGGGGGCAACAAGGACACAGAGAATGCTATTGGCCTTTACTGAGGGGCAATCTTCAAGGAAAGCTTTCTGTTTTACCCACTCTCCCAAGTGGCCTGAATTTATCCGTAAGACTGGGGGGTCTAGAGAACTCCCTTCTCCATCAAGATCTGACTACAGACAATTTCACTGTGGGGCAGGAAATTCTGAGGTCAGCAGGTTTTGGTTACCTTTACAACAGAGATAGGTAGCAATATCCCAGGCAAAGAGAATTGGGGGCTGGAACTGACACCCCTTCGCCATCTACCACACCCTGTCTAGTCTACGCCAACAGCCACCACAGCAGGTCAGTGAGTGGGCGCAACACAGCATTCGGATCTTGCCCTGGAAAACAAATTCTCCCATCTCCTCACCCCCTCCTCCACTAGGGAGGCACAGACCAGATTGAGTTTACTAGAGGAACTAGGGAATGATTGGAAAAACAGCCCCCATCACTGATCCCCCTGAGGGAAGTAAACTTCTTGCTGTGTATGGATCACCTTTTGCTCTCTTTAGCCAATGACTATGTGCCCCCTCCCAAACCAAAGTAGAGCAACGCACCTTATATCCCTGCTGCAAAAACAAAAGACTTGATAAAAAACAAAATCTTTTTTTTTTAATAAAGAAAAATGAGAGAGAAGTTTTTTTTTTTCCAGGCAAGAAACAGGGTGGAATTCAGTTTCCACATCTCCCTTCCATTTCTCCCTTCCATCTGCTCCCGCCCTGTGTGCACAGGAACCTCCCAACTAAAAGTGGGTCAGAACTGGCTTGGGTAGCACCTCAAATCAAAAAGGCTGAGGAACTGATCAGACATATTCCCTGTCCAGGTAGTTCTACTCTCGAAGTGACCTTCTGATGTCCATGGGCACAAGGAAGGACACCCTCAGGGTCCTTCCTATCTCTACTATCACATCTTAATGGTAAGTCACATATACCACTGTGAGTTAAACCTCAGTTATACCAATATGGAGTGGTTCCAGGTCCAAAAAGAGGTCAATCAATCCAATCATGTTGTGCTAGAAAAAAAATTTAACCCAGAGGACAATCATAACATTGAATTCATGGGGACCACGGCTACAATATTCTAAGGAAACTATGCTGGGCCAGAACCTGGATGTCATTCCTGGCTCTAAAATAAGACATTTCTTCTCCCCCAAATCTCAGTTTTCCTATAGGTATTTGCCTCGGTTTTATACTTCTCAGAATATTTAAGGTCTGGCAATCCAATTAACAGATTCATTCAGCACTTTAATGTAAACTTCTTAAAGCTTACGATTTATTCATTACATTAAGGCCTGTCTGATCAAAGGTGTTACTGAGTGGGCATATTTGATAAGCCTGGCTTAAAAGTAGAAAAAGACTCAAATACAAAACTACATAAGAAATTCACATAACTAGCATTCATTTGAAAGCCAGGAAGAATCTCTACAAAAGAATGCAAATAAGAAGACAATATGGGTACCATATTTGAGGAAAGATATAAGCAAGCCTAAGAAGATCAAGAAACGCTCTAGTATCTTTGTCAAGAAAAGCCCAAATGGGATCATGAAGAATCAGACGTGACTGAAAAACAACTAACAACAACAAAGAGTGTTCAAAAAAGGGTGAGCGGGATGTTAAGCTGGACTCAAGAATTACTAACTGAGGATGAATATAAAAGAGTAGCACAATATGGTAAGAATTCTATCAGAATCACTAAAGCCCAGAATGAGATGATGCTAGTAGTGAACACTAAGGACAATGAAAAGAAGTTTCTAAGCTATGTTGGGGGCAAAGGAAGGATCAGAGAAGGAGAAGGATTGCTAAACAGGAGACTAGAATAATGGCAAGAGATGACAGTGAAAAGGATAATCTATTTAAAAGAATGATCTTTGGGAAAGCTAGGTGATGCAGTGGATAGAGCCCTGGCCCTGGATTCAGGAGGACCTGAGTTCAAATCCAGCCTCAGACACATAACACTTACTAGCTGTGTGACCCTGGGCAAGTCACTTAACCCCACTGCCTAGCCAAAAAAAAAAAAAAAATGATCTTTGTACTAGAAAAGATAAAACAAAAATGGTCAAGAGGGAGCAGAATCCCCCTCCTCTTAAACAAGTGAAAAGGAAGTATATAGTTGCTCTCAGTGAGTTCAAGTCACCAGGCTCAAATAAACTACATCCTACAGGACTACAAGAAGTGACAGACGTGATTGCTAAGGGGTTGTCAGTAATCTTTGACAGATTCAAAGTCTCTGAGCTTAAGAGTTTCCTATATCCATATACCAAGCACCCACAGCACGCAGCAGAAGGAAGGAATTGTAACTCCTTTCGATACTCATGAGAAGTACTGAGTTTCTCCCTGTCCAGAATAAGCATGAGAGTCAGGCTAACACAGAAAAGACAATAAAGCTGCAGACTGTGCAGTGTCCACCAGAGGGCAGCAGGCCATTCTAAAAGCTGACCAATGAAGACATCAGTTAGCTGGTAATACTTAAGGGCTGATTCTCAGGTTCTCTTCTTGGTGAGTTCATAGTACTTTTTGTCTATATTTCTCATCTGGTTATCAATCATATTTTTTTTGTAATATCCTCCATGTTGCTGCCTTGTGCTATTATTTATCTTTTTGCACATTTATTGTTTCCCTAACTAGACTGTAAAAAGGGCAGAGGCAGGATCTTATATCATTTTGTATCATCCACTGTACCTGGTACCAGGCCTTGAATACAGAAAGTGTCAGTGTTAGAAATGGGCATCTCACAAACAACCCCTTAACAGCTTCAACTATACACTGAACTACCCTGGTTGTCATTCCTTCCTGTCTCTCCAACTGCCTCTACCCTGGCATGCCTCTAATTAAATCTCCCCAAAAGAACAAAGGTATCTTCAAGCCTAGAAATGAGGAAGCCAAGAGGATTAGAGAACTTTATATCACTATCACCACTAAAGATCCAAAATGGCTGACTTGAGTCCTGAGCTCTGCACCCTGTATCTTGTGTCAATGCCCCCCACACATCTACCTTACTTTGGGCTCAGAAGTGGTGGCAAAGGCAAGCTAAAACAAAACCAATGCAGCTAAAATTAGAAGGGAAGCAAGTAACTGGTAAAAAAAAAAAGAAAAAAAAAAACAAAAAACCTTTGCAGCAAGTTTCTCTGATAATGGTCTCATTTCCAAACCATAAAAGGACCTGACTCAAATTTTTAAGAATATGAGTCTTTCTCCAATTGACAAATGGTCAAAGGATATGAAGAGGCAGTTTAAAAAGAAAGAAATCCAAGCTATCAATAGTCATATGAAAAACTACTTTTAATCACTATTAATTAGAGAAATGCAAATTAATACAACTCTAAAGTTCTATTTCATATCCATCAATTGGCAAAAATACTAGAGGGGCTTTGGGAAAATAGACACACTAATG